AGTGTCTCTAACCGGATGTGCTGGTCGGTGATGTTGAAGGCCCTGCAGAGCGGCTGGCTCGTGTTCAGCCAAACGACCGGGCTCTTCTCCGCAGCCACAGATATCTGGCCCGTGATTGGAGCAGAGCTCATGTGCAGAGCGCTGGCGATGGCTGAAAGCAGCGTGTCATCGCTGGAGTCTGGTCCAACACCTGCACAGAGAGAGGTCACATGTCACCGCAAGAGAGGGCAAGGTGTGAGCTCAGCGTCACCATGGAGACTTACTTTGCAGGCCTTTGGGCAGGTCCAGGGTCTGCAGTACTTCCTCTGTGATGTCTGATGACCTCAGACCTTTCAACCTCCTCTCCCAGAACAGCTGCAGACAGACAGACAGACAGCATAGTTGAATATCTGCTGTGGATTGGAGCATCTCGTGATTTCACTTTGTTTTTTAACTGTCAACCAAATGCTTCCTGCTACTGCTACGGCAAGCAGCCAGTGGTAACTAAGTAACTAAGTACATTTAACTAAATTACTCAAGTATTGTACTCAAGTACTTTTTTGACAAATGTGTACTTTACTTAAGTAATTCTAGCTATTGCTACTTTATACTTCAACTCCTCTACAATAATTGCACTTAGTATTCCACTTCATTCCAAGTGATAGTTACTTGTTACTTTGTAGAGTACAACCACATGATATACTAATATGTGACCTGCTCCATCGAAATCAGTCACATTGACCCGAAGACACATTTGAGTTGTGTACACTGTTGGAAAGAGGGGGTTCCTAGCTTTCTAATGATATCAGGATTGTTTTGTACTCCAAATATTAAGCAAAATATGTCACATTATATAATGAAGTTTCCTCTTCTCTGGAACCCATCGATCTGATTGATTATTAGCAAATGATCAAAATACTACGGAGGGAAGATATTTTCATTTGGATGTGTGTGTTTGTGTATTTTTGCGTTTGTGTGTATTGTGTTTGTTTCCCGGGGAAAACACTCAGGAGAAACACCGGCTGTTGTTATGCCTGCTGTGACGTCAAGTTACTCCGATCTCTGTTGTAATTATGCCGTTACAAGCTTCAAAGTTGCATTTATCATCTGAATTTGCCGAAACAAGTTTAATATTCTGAAAGCCAAAACTTTGTTTATTTAAAATCAAACAAAACACCTGAACCCCGAAAAACTATTTTTTTAAGCAAATCCACGTTTATTTTGAAATGAGCCGTTGCGAATTCCGACTGATTTCAATAGAGCGGGTCACATATGCACTAATGCGTTCGCAAATCAAACCATTTTAGATATTTTTACCTGGTTCTAATCTGCTTCCCTCTCTGTCTCTGTGCGGCAGTTCCTGCAGTCAGCAGAGAGGGAGACACCTTTGTGAGCACTTCCATCGAACAAGCCATCCGTAATGTGGATAGCGCTATTGAGTCGACAAGAAGACGTCTCTTTGATGGGTAAGTTATGAGAAACTCATACAACAAACACACAGCCTCTTTACACTCAAGTCTCTTAAGTGATGGGAACGCCATGCTGTTCATTATGTGTCAGCTGTAAGGAATAAGGCTGGTGTATGGTGTTCATAGTATGAGCAAACAAGGCAAGGCAAGTTTATTTATATAGCACCTTTCAACACAAGGCAATTATAAGTGCTTTACAAAAAATGAAAGACATTAAGAAAATGGCATTTAAAAAAGTCATTTCTTTCTTTCTTTATTCTTTATTTCGAACAGATTAAAAAATAACAAATAAGAAAATGTGAAAAACAGAACACCGCATTGTTAAAATACAGTATCCATCCACATTCATGGTAATATCTGTATTCAACAAAAAAACAAAAAAAGTCTTCATATTAATAATAATAATAAATCATATGTGTCCGAAAGGGAGTAGGAGGAAGCAAATGCTTATTAAATCCCACCCCTTACTTTATCAATGATTGTCCTTTAAAATCACTATGCAAGTTATTCCTACATACATTTACATTTATACATACATATACAATTAATTTCTCATCTGCAATCACTTTTCTTCATTCTCATAGTTTTAAAAAAAAGTGTTTCTGTACATCCTTTTAAACTGAATGATGCTTGTGCTTTGTTTTAACTCCTGCTCCAAACCATTCCATAAAATCACCCCACAGATTGTTATACTCTTACTTCTCAGAGTTGTTCTGACCTTGAGTTATTTAAAAAGTAGATTTCCTCTCAAATTATACCCACCCTCTCTGTCTACGAACAATGTTTTTAATTTCCTAGGAAGTAGATTATGTCTTGCTCTGTACATGATTTGTGCCGTTTTAAATTTAACCAGATCAATGAACCTTCAATATGTGTGACTTCAAAAATAATACATTAGTGTGTTCAAGATATCCAACATTATTGATAACTCTTATAGCCCT